TCAAATATTGCAGAGAAAAAGGCCAACGAATTATACAATTGCGAATTATACAATTGCAGTGAAATACAATTTTCTCTAGCTTTATACAACAGAAGTGTATATAGTGTGTTTCTGTTTTTGTATAAAGCGAGAAAAACATGTATATTCTTGCTATACACTTATAATTATGCAATATACATACATTTTAATTCGATTCAACTGTATGCAAAACAAATTATACAATTGTAGCGAAATAGGCCAACGAATTATACAATTTAGGCCAGCGAATTATACAATTTAGGCCAGCGAATTAAACAATTATATATGTATAGCGAATTATACAGTTTTATGTTTGCTATGGAGCGCAATTATGCAAAGTTTGCTATAGCATGCAAATATGAATTTTTTAGTTGCTATATGTGAAAGTTGCCCTAAATATAATATAGAAAGTAATACTCTAAATTAATGTAAATCCTAATAATTAGTACCTAAACAAGTGAAATTTGTGTAGTTTATCTTTTTTTTAAAACATGATACAATTATTATTTTTATTTTATTAGATAAAAGTGCAAAACTCTAAACCGATCATTTGCTACTATCTTGAGGGAAAAGCAAGGGAAGAATTGATTAGCAATTGTGGAAAATTTTCTTATGTCCAAAAGAGAAGTCCGTCAAAATTTTGACAGATGTTTATAAGAATATTTAAAATGTATCAATTATGAAAATATGAAAAATTATTAGTACTCTATGTTAAAATATAAGAAATATTTTGATTTTTAATTTAAAGATAAAAATTAATTTTAATTGTTTGCTCGTTTAAAAGGGCTCTATTTTTTAACGTGATACATAGAGCTGTCAATATCAGCTAGTCCGTTAGATCGGCCTGGCCTACCCAAAATTTAATAGGGTTGAGTTAAAATTTTTAGAGTCCATTTAAAAAAAAAATTAGCCCGACCTAAATAAACCCGTTGATATGTGGAATTTGAGAAATATAGATGAGACCAGTCCGTGAGCCAATAAAAAATTAATTAAAAATATAATATTAATAATTTATATCTTTATCAAAAATGAAAAAAAAATTCAATTATTCAACCATAACTCAATGTTGGTAAAATTTATGTCATTATTGTACTAAAAATGAGTTTATGTGTCCAATCTTTACCTAAAGCAAGTCTAGCATCATCCTATCTAATTAATATTAATTAATTGCTTGGAAAAAAAATTAAAATTAAAGAGAGTTCAAACTCAAAATAATTAGGTTAATATTTTTTTTTATATATTTATACTTTTATTTGAAAAAAAAACTTAATAAATAGTATAAAGATTATTTTTTTATATGAATTTGACTAACAGGTAGTAACATTAACATCATGTAATTGTTTTATTGATATATATGATAATATTTTTATATTAGAATTTATAATTTAATTTATTAATTATTAAAAAATAAAAATTTTTAAAAAGTAGGCTGATCCGGAAAGCCTGTAGTTCACGTACTTGTGGGTTGGGCTGGCTATTTTTTGATCCACGCTAAAAATGGGCTAACCCAGCCTGCATAAAATATCAAAACATGTATGAATAAGCTCGGATTGAATGGACTAGTCCCTATTGACAACTATAGTGACACAATTAATAATAAAATTATATTTTTAATGTTGGTTAAAGAATTGGGAAGAGTTATCTTCAAACGTGTAAATAGTATAAAATAACAATAAGTAATTTCAAATTCTAATCTTTCATTTTTTTCCCCCCACTAAAACAGATTGCTACAAGGACTTGTTAATTAATGATTAAAATTGTTTTCTTTTAATATTTTTCTTTTAACATTTGAAAAAATTTACACTAATATAGATTAATTTTTTTAATAAAAAAAGTCAAATGGTATTATAAATAATTTAATACATAATAAAATGGTCAACATTGTCATTGTTATGTATCATATACTTATTATTGAAACTGATATTAGTGCTTAATTTATAGAACATGATTCATGTATCAATATTGTTATTGAATAATATGTACATATACATAATCTTGTTGGATAAGACCGAACAAACATTAAAAAGATTGTAGATACATAACACACAACTGATTGGTACTATTTATATAACCTCTTAAATTTGAATAGGGTTGAAAATACGTTATAGAACTTGGTATATATAAATGATACATTAGATAGTATTTATATATCAAGTACATTGATATTGAAGAGGATAAACACTACTCTAGATTCAACAACATTAGGGTTATGTATCAATTTTTTTAAATTGAACAAGATACATTGCTTAAAACAAAGGTCATTGTAGTCGTAATGTATCGGAGTAGTGATAACACTACCAAAGTCTAATTTAAGAAATAAAGTAAATTAAATACATTAGAAATCTGTAAGTTTGATAGTGATGATTGTGTAACTATCGATCGAACTTCACCCCCCCCCCAACCCGTGGTCGCTTTTTCCAACAATAGATTTGGTATTCGAGCATGCATTCTTTTTTACTTTTTCGCTCTCAAATTATTTATGATTAATGACTCATTTCATTGTTTATATCTATTTCATGAAATTTTTCATCATCGGAGTCCATATGTATCAGAAAACTGTAGATGAAAAAACTAAAAAAAAAATTAAAAACAAGATAATTTAAGAACCGAAAAGAAAAAATTAATAAAGAAATAGTTCTACCTCTTTTGAAACTTGAAATTCATGAACCGGAGAGAGAATAGATTCAAAAATGGAATGACAAAGACAGCTGATAATCTATTGAGGTGATTTTAGACATGAAAATAGAAAAAAAATCGTTTAATTCGAGGGTTGTGAGATTGAAAAAGGAGAGAAAGAGAGCTAATAGAAATTTTTGAAATATTTTAAAATAGTAAAATCGTTTAGAAAATATGAAAAAAAAATTGTGTAGTTAAGTAATTTTAAATAGGTTACACACGTAAATTCAAAAAATTGATGACACATGTTGCTTTTTGGAAATTTATTAAGTGGTACATTTAAATGTAAAATTATAGAGTAGATTAATTGAGAAGAGGACACATATTTTTGTGTGTAAATTTTGTATATAGCATTTTATACAATAATATTATCAAGTTATGACATTAGAGTTTCAATTTCATTGTGTAGCATTTCTCACTCTATAGTATTTTATTAATAATTATATTGTTAATTATAATTTATAAAAAAGAGTTGTTATTAACAATTAATCAAAAATTAAGGAAATAAAGTAATAATGGATAATTAATGTTAATAATTAACACACTGACAACACAAATTATGAAACTTTTGTTTCTTTATTAATTGCTACATTTAATGCAGGTAGCACGTTTTTTAATATAAATAGTTGTACTTTTTAGAGAGTTTAATTAAAGTTAAAATATATGATTAGCACATTTTTAGGGATATTAAACATTTTCAAATTATCATTATTGCCTTAAATATCTCTAGTTAGTTAAAATAATATTATTTTTTTTGAATTAATTCCTTAAAAAACTCAACCAGATAATAACAAATATTTTCGAATTTTCAGAATACTTTTAAATTGTCATTTTCAAATATATTTGAATCAACGTTACAAGTAGTCTTCTTTCCAAAATTTCACAATTATTTTCAGATTGCTTTCAACGTATAAATTATTTTTTTCTAAAAATTCAAGAATATTTTCATAGATACATATTTCACTTCTTTTTTTAGTAACCTGATAAAATTTGGCGTACAATATATGTTTCTATTTAAATTATAATATATGTTTTTATATTAAGTTTGTATTGAAAATGTATTGTGTTTGTTTAATTGGAGTATTGTATAGGACAATGAATGATATATTAATTGTGTATGAAGTGTGTATGAATTATATGAACTGATTATAAATTTGTGTAACGTTGAAGTCTGAATATTTTTTAATAGTGTATGAAGATTATACAAAACGTATATCATTTGTGTATGAAAGTCCATTTATTTTTTTTCAAAATTACAGTATTTTTTTAATGAAATTAGAATATATGTTTTTTATTAGTTTTGTACAGCGGGTAGAACAAAACTTAAAAGATGGAAGGGGTTTTGCTTACGTGAAATTCAAAAGGAAAAAAATAACTTGGAGTAGATGCCGTCAAGTTGGACACAATAGAAAGACATGTTCAAATTATGCTGTGCAAAAACAATGATTTCGTAATGTTACATTTGTTATTTGTTGTTTTGAATGTTAGAAACTACGTTTTGTTTTATTGAGTGCAGTTGTTATCATTGACATTTATAAAGTTTGATTTCGTAAGAAATACGTCATATATATATATATATATATATATATATCACTTGTTTCTGTTACATATGTCAAAGTTCAGTATGACATTCATAATTCATACAGTGTTTATACATTATAAACATATATTGAACTATACTGTCATTCATAAAATGTTCAATAGTATTCATAAAATGTTCATACAGTATTCATACAATGTTCATATATGTACCATTTGTTACTGTTACATATATCCAAGTTCAATATGGGATTCATAATTCATACAATGTTTATACATTATATATATATATACATTGAACTTTACTGTCATTCATAAAATGTTCATATAGTATTCATACAATGTTCATATATATACCATTTGTTTCTGTTACATATATCAAAGTTTATGACATTCATAATTTATACAATATTTATACATTTTTCATATAATGTTCATATATTTTTGCATATTGCAATCGAAATTTATACAAAAATCATACACATTTAATAAAGTACAAATATTCATTTAAGCATACTATCATTAAATACAACAGTTAATATATTATGACATATATAGTCAAATATATTTTATACAACATGTAGACATGAGTGTTACAAGATCTCTAGTGCTGAATTTTTGCGACAAGTCAAAATCATCTCTTGGTTTCACACACCAAGATGACGAAGAAGAAAAAGAAATTGATGAACTATGTGATTCTTCACTCACTTCGTCATGTTCTTCATTAACAATCAGTTCTCCAATCATGTCCGGGACATAATTTTTTACTTTCCTCCTCTTATAACATTTTTTTCTGATTGCTTTCACCGTTGACACTACTTTCCTTTTAGAAGGACTAGATCTTACTAGTTCATCATTCGACTTCTTCTCTAATTCCATCGCAGTTGTATAGCCTGAGATTTGCGATTGAATTTGAGTTATACATAGATCAAAAAATGGTATTTCAACCATGAAGTTACCGGTATAGTTTGTACCTCTTGTGAATCTCCTTAGGATATTTGGTTTAGACATTGTATTCAACAACCCAGATCCTAAAAAATTATAGACAAATAAATATTAAAGAATTTGACATAAACAAATATAAAACTTGAAGAAACCTGCATTATCTATACAACGTAAATTTCTCCAAAAATCAAGCAACAACATATAAAAATTAAATAATTTGACAAAATAATCAGAGAAAAAATAAAAACTTAAAGAAAATAAACCTGTTTGATGATCTATACAACACGATTTTTTTCAAAAATCATGTAATGTTGCGAATTTGATGGTCGAAAAATAAAAACTTAATTTTGTGAAAGATTGATAGAGATGTAGTTGAATAAGGATTTTAAGCTTAATATGATTTTGAGAAATAAGTTTAAAGCTTGAAAATGTTTGTACTTGAAGATGACATTAAGCGTGCGTATATGTATTCTCAGATTTAATATGACAAAGAAATTAGTCGTGTTGTCTTTAATTAATCAATAGAGAGAGAAATGTGTGCTGCCTTTAATTGATTAATAGAGAGAGAAACGTGAAAAAAGACGTGTAGAATTAATATGATAGTAAGAGAAGAGTGTAAATAGGGAAATGTTGAGTGTATTGGGGGAAGATAAAAGAGTATTGGTTGATATGGGGGTGGATAGTTATTGGGTAACCATATAATATGAAATTAATTAAAATCAAATCCCTAATTTTTATATTTTGTTTTTTTAAAAGGTAACTATATAATATGAAGTTTAATTAATATTTAATAAATAATAATCTGTTATTTATATTAAAAACATTAAAAGATAATTGATTAATATTTAATAATTTATTATTTATATTAAAAAACTTTAAAAGGTAATTGATTAATCAGTAATAATTTAAAAGGTTTTGTTGATAAAAGGTAAGTGAATAAATGAAACAAATTATTTAAACATAATAATTATTAGTTAAATAATATAATAATTTTTTTATTAATATATTATTAGTTAATATGATATAACTTGATAATAATATGCTATAAATAGTTTATTTTTAATTTTTTTTTAAAATTAATATATTATTAAATGATGTGCTATAAGATGATAATAATATGCTATAAGTAATTTATTTTTAAAGAGTATAATTATAACTTAATATTTATCCTCTTAAATGTGTGTGAGATGTTAATTTTACTTTTTTTTTAATTATTTTTTAAAATCATTATCAGATAACTTATGTTGATTTAAGGGTTTTCATTCATTTGAGGTGTACATATGGTAAGTTTTATGGCAACGAGAGTATAGGTAATTGAATAATATTACGAAGGATAAAGCTAGCAATTAAACAAAAATTGAAAGAATATTTTGTACCTTCTCCATAAATTTTATGTAAGTATACCTGTGGATTAAAGTGAATTTTCTAAGTGGTCATCCAAATTTAGAGAATTATTTTAAAATATTTTTTATATTTTATTTAGGACTAAAAAATTATTTAACTATCCTCTAAATATATTTGACACTTCAAAAGCCTAACTTTCTCCTAATTGACATGACATGTCATTAAAATATTTTCTAAAATAATAGACTAATTTAATTCTTTAAACCATTTAACTGAAATAGTGATCTTATTATTTTTAAAAAAAAATACTAGTATATTAAAAAAATAATTCATATTTAAGAATCTTTTATCATTATTATTTTTTTATTTTTTACGATCAAGAATATTTTTTAAAACTTATGCCATAATGTCAACAAATTTAAATAGTTATAAACAAATATATTAAAAAAAATAGTGCTATATAAATCACTTATGAATGTCAACTTACATAATCAGATATTATATAATGGATCAATAACATTAAAAGTCAATTAACTAATAAAAAGTAATTAATTGAGTGTTTTGAAATCCATATATACTTATAATATTTTTTTTAAAATAATAAAATAGAAAGTAAATAATATTTATATTAAAGTAAAATTTTGATCTTTATTTATTAATATATTAATAACATACAATATGCATATTATTGAATTAAAATAGGCAATTCAATTAATTATTACTAGTATTTCATAAATTTGGGATGGATAAGAATATATATATATATATATATATATATATTAGTGTTTAATTGTATAAGAAGTTAAAATATAATATAATACAATACAATATAGAATAAAAGAATAAAAATTAAAATTAAAATTTTAAAAAAAGTTAAATAATAATTTTCTTTCGTACCAACCTTTTGTCAATCTTACAAATTATATGAACACTTTTATAAAAAAATTGCTTAAAATTTTCAAATAATTTACTTAGGAATTTTAAAAATTATCAGGTAATAATTGCACGCATAGATTTTTTAATTGAATTTTTTGTTTGGTTAAAATATGTAAAGGAATTAGATTTTTTTTTTCATTTTGTTTATAATCTCCATCAATTTTCATGAAATTTGTATATTTATTTTTTAGAGACATAAGTTTGATGAATTAAATAGGTTTATTATTTTTTTAAATGATGATTTATCGACATGATGTATCAACTAGAATAGAAGGAGACTTTTGAGGTATTTAGTATTGTTTTTTGGATAAAAAAATATAATATTTTTTCAAAAAATAATATTGTAAGCATGAATTTGAAAATACACAATTAACATTATTGTAATAGTTAATTTACTTAATATTATTAATTCATTAAATAATTTATGATTAATTAATTTAAGTTAACATTCATGAGTGATTTGTATGTCAATTTTTTTTAATATATGCGTTTATAATTATTCAAAATTGATGATATTATAGTACGTTTTAAAAATCTATTCTTCATAACATAAAACTACGTTTAATTATGATAAAAGATTCTTAAATATGAAAATTTATTCTTAATAAACTAACATATCTTTTTTTTTTTAAAATATGATTATTATTTTAATTAAATGATTTTAATGAATTAAATTAATCTATTATAAAAAAAATTGTAATGACATATCATGCCAACAAGGAGAGAGTGAAACTTTTAGAGTGTCAAGTATATTTGTAGGAAAATAATGATAGTTGAATGATATTTTGATTCTAAATAAAACATAAATGATATTTTAAGATAATTCCCTAAACTTGAGTGACCATTTAGGAAATTGACTCATGGATTATAATAGCCTAAGCATTTCATATTTTTAATCATGAATTAATATAACTAGAATGAAATCTTATCCTTCCTTCTAATTGATCTTACATCATGATAATCAACAATTATTTTAAAAGCATATACTTTTATTCTGCTTATTTATTTGTCATTATAAAAACATTATAGTAAAATATTATATCTAGAGTTCGTGCAACACGAAGGAATCAAACACCCACTACGAAAATAATTTTGAAAGGGATGCTTTATCCGTTCAAATATTAATTTTCTACCAATATTATATTATATCAAGTTGCTCAAAATACAATAAAGAAAAAAAAATAATTTCTGGTAATCTATCCAAATTTTAATTAGTGAAGTTATTTATTTATTTAATAGAAATGGATATAAAAGATAGCAATCATATTAATAAATAATTGTCCACAACTAATCAACATTATTTTTATAAAAATATGGATTCAATAATTAACATGAAGTTGCTTTACACAAAGTCTTGCATAGGCCTTTCTAGATGATTTTGAAGAGATATTTGATCCAATCAATAATTTTTTCTTTTTATAACACTCGAATATGCAGTTGCTTACCTATTCAATATATTAATTAGTATTCCCCTTGTCCTTACTATATTTGACATATTTTATTTTAAGGTGTTCAAAGAAAGAATATTATACCTAATTATTTGAATATAAAGTAAAAGTTCCTATTTTACTCTATAATTTATTTGATCAAGCTTTTGAGAGGGTAAAAGTATATTTTTTTCAAAAGTTCTTGTTTTTAAAACATGAAACTGTTTTCCAAAAGAAAAATTCATGTTTTTGAAAACACTTCTAAAATATCAGTCAAATTCCAATTGTTGATCAAAATAATTTTGAGATAAAAGGTAAAATACACTTAAATTATTCTCCTTTTAAATTTCGCACATAAATAATTTAATGTAGCAATTTCATATTTAAAATATCTTTTTTTATTACATTCTCTCTTTTATTTAAAATTTTCTTGTAATACATAGTATCCCACATAGATAAATATTTCACTAACAAAAATTAAATAATAAACTATTTAATATTAATTAAAAATTAAAAATTAAAAATTAAATTATTACTATATATAAAAAATATAAAACCATCCGCTCATCCCCCTACCCCTACCCCACAAAGAAAAAATGATATATATTTTCTTTATCCTATTCTAGTTAATTTTCCGCTCCTAATTTGTTTTTTTTTTTGTATTTTTCTCATTTTGTGATACGTACATATATTTTTAGAAAAATTATACTAGTGTACGAATATAACATAAATAAATAAAAAAATTTAAAAAGTCTTACAGTGATAAATAAAAAATATTTTTGATATGTATATATATCTAAGACTAAATGAAACAAATTAAAAGCAAAGGGCTAAGTAGGGTGGGTAAAAATATTTTTTAAAAATAAAATAATATTTAAATTAATATTTGAATAGCGGAGAGGGAAGGAGATAAAGTAAAAAAATTAAATACTTTTATAAAAAAAATTTAAACAAAAAAAAAACTGAAATAAAATGCCAGGGTGGGGGAGCGGTGAGAGAAAGTAATGAAATGGGATAAAAAAAATTTTTTATTTTATTTTATAAAAGAAATATTATTTTTAGTAATCTTTTAATTTAACTAATACTAATAAAGGTTGAATTTTGTCATTGTAGATATGATATAGCAATTTCTTATATATATGATGAGAGTGATATAAAAGAGAAATGTGTGTTTCTTAAATTAGAAAGTGATAATTTAGATACGAAATTCACTCTCTCAATAGTTTAGATATGAAATTAAAAAAAAAAATATAGTTAAACTGTATTTTTTGACACTTATCAATATTTTTCTCACTATTTTTTTCAAAATATATTAATTTTAAAAATTGGCCGAGAAAATTATTAATAAAATAATTAAATTATGATAATATTTATAACTTATTACCCTATAAATTTTAAATTTTGTGCCAAATAAAATAATTATTTAATCATTAATAGGAATTATTAAATTACTTCTTTAAATAATTACAAGCACAATAGACCATAAGCACGCTACCCTACACTGTCCGTGCACGTTAGCCCCAGCGCACCAAATATCTCATTCGATCACATTATTGCACGGCTTTGTCGTACGTTCTATATTATTACTTATTCCTTCAAATTGTTTATTATATTTTTACTTTTTAAGAGAATTAACTGTTTGAATTTTGAAATTTTAAATTTTAAATATGTGTTTAAATGTTTTAATTAAATATGTGTAGAATAATTAAATAAACGATTTGTTCAAAAAAGTAAAAAAGATATTTCTTTAAAATAAAGTTAAAAGAAAAGTAGAATAAACAAATGGAAATGGATCAATATTATATCTTCTTCCATTATGTTTGTTTTAACTCTTTGTTAGTAATCCCTCCGTTTATTATTATTTGTTATAATTTTTATTTTTAAAGTTAAATTATATGAGCTTTGAGTAATATTTTAAAATATATTTTTTTATCATATTAATATGCAAAAATTTATAATTTATTGTATTTTTTTATATATTTTTTAAATATCTAAATTTTTTGTTTAAAATATTAAATTAAATGTAATTTAATCTAAATATGAAAATTAGTTAAATTGACTTTTGAAAAGTGTAACATGACAAATAAAAATGGAC